TCTCAGTATGACTCTGATATTCAGTGAAAATCAAATATGAACAGCTACTGCCACAGTAGACATTCAGGTTCGTAAATGCTCTATTTATGTGGCAAAGAAATGGGCTTTACAGGAGTTTTACAGAGAAACAGAAATTGTCAGAACTGGCAGTGTAAATTGAAATAGCAGGAGGTAATGCTATGAGAATAAATATTGGAAAAACAACTAGGAAACTGGATGCAGGCAACAGATTTTAAATCCTTTCTCTTCTGCAAATATAAAAACCTGGAGTCACCCATCTCTAGTGTACATAGGTTAAACCTTCCCAGTTACTTGATATAGGTACTGTTGAAAATGCACTGTGAAAAACCAAGTGATTCAAAAAGTAAATGTGAGAAATGATGAAAAATATTTTGAGATAGACACATATTTAACAGGTCAAATGTCAATGTTAGTACCTGGCTTTATCCCAGTGATCTAGTGAAGTTTGAAGCTCCCAATCTCTATAAAAGCTACCATATCTGCTGAGGTTCTTTGAGGCATAACTACCACATAATTTCCTAGGATGTGTGATCTGTTGCAGTGGGCTGAATGGAATTAACCGGGAAAGAAGATGAATAACATGTTTTACACCATGCTACCTGCCATACTAAAGATGCTGTAATAAGCCACAGTGATGAAAGCACATTTTAGTTTCATACCCAACACATTGCAAAGATTCCTGTAACTATCATTGTGTTCAGATATTAAAAAATTAGGTTCTCTGAATTTATGGATAGCAAGAATGTCGAGTAGGACTCTACTCACATGGGAAGAATCCTTTGTGAATTGGTGGAATTTCTAATTGTAATGGCTTAATGGCTCTTCTGTCATTCCTGTAAGTAAAACTGATTGTAAATAAAATAAAATGCAAAATAAAACAAAGACATTCAACAATCTCTGTAGCTCCCCCTCCCCAAATTGATAAGCCTTCTACTGCCCTGGAATCCAGTGTAATCATTCATAAACAGTCATTACAAACATGTATCTTATTGTCTGAAAGTACTTCATAGACATTTGCTAATACCACTCCCTCCTAATATATATTAGGTATGTTTTATACTGGGTGAGAACTCCACTGGTGAAATCTTTCACCTGAGATCATTCCAATTGAGATGCAATCCCACATTAGAAAGTGAAAGTCAGGCATAAATAATGAATGTTCAAACCAACTTTAATTATAAAGAGAAAAAAAATGTGAAAAGAGAAGTTTTGCTTCAACAGGTGATGCTATTTCTGCTTGAAAGCTTGAGGGAAAAATGCAAGGCAAAGGAAAAGAATAAACAGTTTTTAAGTAAAAGTCTTATTCACTAGATGACAACTAAATGTTGCACACTACCATTCTTGTGTTCAAGGAGAAAAAGATCCCAGTTTTGTAAACTAGTCCAATCATACGGTCAGACATGCAGTAGAATCATATGATTGGAAAGATTAGATGATACAAATAGCAAATGAGGTAAACTATAGCAGAAATGGAAGAAAAAATCCAAAATATCTCTCCTTTGAATATTCATCATTTATAAGTAATGAACTCATAGCCTCTAACCCATAAAAAGCAGGCAAAACAATTATGAAGGAAGAGAGGAAGATGGCAAGAATAAGAAACAGTAAGAAATGTGCTGAATGAAAGTTTTGCAAGTGGAAGGAAGAAAAGTGTCTTTAGGTATGACATAACCCAGTCCCTCAGATAATCCATAGTTACCCAGTATAAAAGCTTTTGTACAAAACTATAGCATACGCGTTCCTAGACAAAGAGAGGTGCCTATACCAGTATGCCAGAAGTGCTGCTAGACACAGCATGAATGGGAGCACTTCAGCAATGACGCTCAGGGAGTGCATTTATGAGCTGGGAAAAGCTACAGCTGAAGGCAAATTACAATTTGAAGGCATGCCCATTGCTCCCTTGGCTCCAGCTCCATGATCCAAGCTGTGAGGGAGGATTGAAATTAAATAAAAGGCCCACAAGCCAAAGGTACAAATGCTTCATTAGTTTTTCAGGCAAACCCAAGTCTCATACTAGTCTCAAACATTTTCTGCAAGAGAAAGGATCTTGAACTGGCTAGGGAATTAAGAATTACAATGATGTGGGGGTTTTTTGAAGCCTGTACTTATTACCCACAAAAAGGGGACATAATCAAGGTCAGTAAAGTAAAGTGCAGGGCTGAAAGAGTCAGTGCCCTGCAGGAAGTAGTACAACATTAAAGAGAAATCTGCCATGAAGACAAACACCTGCAAGAGATATCTAGCACACAGAGGAGCTGCATAAGCAGCCAGCTTTTCAAACGGATGGAATTTTCTTTTTCCCACCTACAGCGCCTTCCGTAAATAACTTCCTCATGATGTTAAAGCTGCCGTGGAGCTGCAAACTGGAAGCCCTGCAGGAAGAAAAGATAACTAGAGGTGATTCTGTGCAATTTTAATATCATTGCTCTGTTTTAACACTGGCATTTAATATGTGTCTTTTCCTTTTGGCCTCCAGACTAGCCAAATGGGTGTCAGGGCTCAGCAAGGGATGGCTGCTCCCTCAGGGCTGAGAAGTCTCGAGTGGCGTCGCGCCCAGTGATTGCTCTGCTCTGTGTTAGGGTTGCTAATAGAGCCTCCAGACAGACACGTGCAAAGCAAGTGATGAGCTAGGAAGCTCAAGGGCTGGAGTCTGTACAGGGGATCCAGCCAGGACACAAGGCCAGGAGAAGATGGTAGCACAGGCACAGCTATGCCATACCTTAAATCAGGATTGCCAGCCTGAGCGGGAATGGGAGTGCTAGGCAGGGTGTAGGAGAAAGGCCCTAGCTAACATGGGTAGGGCATCTTAGTGCTCTCAGGGGCCTGGCAGAACCTATAGAATACAGTGGGGTAAATAATAACTTTCCAGAGGAAACAAAGATTCCTAGCACATTTGAATTTATCCCACCTTCAGACCAGCCAGTGAAGGTACCAGATCTGTGGGGCAGCTTACTGTGCTCAGTCTTCTCATACCTTCAGAGTACTTCTAGACCATATGTTCTTTCACAGCTTCTGCAGTGAGTCATGGGCTCAGCATAGGCTCATATAACCTAAATGTAAACTAAAGTGATTTAATCACTAAATGAAAAGTCAGATTTTCCATTTAGCAATTTTCACCATCAGGAAAGTAGGAGTGGGATTGCACAGATGCTAGAACTAGAAAAAATAAAATGGAATCTATCTCTTCAGAGGCTGTGGTACACCCTGTTTCTCCAAGCCTGCAAGAAATATGGAGGAGGACATCTAAGCATTGACCTAAAAGAGGAGACAAGATCCAAATCCTAGGCTCATCGAGGAAAAATGGGAACAAATAAATGGATAATAGAGCAGATTGTGGTACAGATCTTTTAGTGACTGAAAAATATCCCAAGTGAAATAAAGAAAACAAGGAGAAATGACTGGCAATTAGCAGGCCTTCAGGGAATGGAGCTGCTGAGCAGAGAAGAGTACATTTAGTAATGAAACAGAAGAAATAATACAGGTACTGTCAGATTAGGCTCATTAGAACTGGACAAAAAATTAAGGATTAGACTAAACAGTGAGAAATTGGGCAGCCTCCAGGGGAAAGTAATGTTGTTAGGTGTTAATGTCTCTAACTCTGTTAAATGTCTCTGACTAAGCACTGGCCCTGAAGGGATGGTGTGCCCCATTGCTCACTCCAAGTTCTCATTTTCCCCAGTACCAGTACATTTCCTCAGTACATATCCAAGACAAGACCTTGTCACACACCAGACACATCTTGGTTCTCCTGACAGAAACGCCAGGCACCTCAGAAGGGCAGGAGCTGCATTGGACACAACAGCTTCCAGTGGCCTTCACAGATACAGGAACCAGCCCTGAACATGCAGCTTTTCGGTAAGTAGAAAAATTTCTGGACTAATTTCTAAGGCAAATCCCTTTTATTTATCAAGAAAGCTACAAATATTTTTCTAAGATCTGAGAAGGAAGAGGAAAGGTCTGCAGCTGTCCTTGTATCCAAATAGGCTCTCCTTGCGTACAGACGCCAAACCAGTTTTACAAGAATGTTCCAGAGGTGTTGCCTTGCAACACTAAGTTACACATTACTTGCCCTTCAACAACACTTTACAAAGAGACAAGGCACACTACTACATATTTGCTCTGTGTCTTGTATCTCGGCACCTCCTTTGATCCTTTTTATTCTCTAGCTTTTTCTTTTTTAGAAGACAGGCATACAGGGTCCACCACTCTCCTGTCTTCTCTTGATGAAGGCTCTGAAAATATTTTACATTCTTTATATAGTTGCTTTTGCTTATCTACCACCTACCCAGAATAAGGCAAAATTCCTCAAAGCTTCCTATTTTTTTTATCCCTATTCTTATGTTTTATTTGAATTTCAACAACATGCACAGAAAGCTGGTTCTATGGTGTTAACAGAATTTATATATTGGGCCTGTCTCTGTCTATCTTTATCTCCCTTCCCTACACATGCTTATATGTCTACACAGCATTCCCCACCCAATCTTCTATAGTATTTACAACACCGTACAGTAGTGCTACTTTTGGCTAAAGAGTTTAAAGGTCTGATTTCTGATTTGACTTGAACACTGGAACAGGTGAAAGGATCAGACTGAAGGATACTACTCTGTAATTCAACCACAAACTTAGTCGGCCCAAGTCTGTGTTTAACATTTGTGTTTCTGGTGCTTCCATATGTAGAAAATTGCAACAAGAAACCAACACAGAACAGAGTCTGTTGTTCTTATACACATTATAATCTGTGTCAGAAATATAAGGGCGATGACATAAATAGGGCAGGAGATCTTTCTCCTTTTTAATGCCTTTATTAAAGAGATTCAGCTCAGGTGGGGAGAAATCGCCGGGTCGCGCCCACGCCGCCGCTGTCCCCAAGAGTGGCAAGGAGGAGGAGGGTGATGCAGCTCTGTCCGCTGGTCTGCAGGCAGAGCTGGGGACTGCGTCCTCACGGGAGATTCGCAGATTCCTGTTTTTTTCAGTCCAACGCTCCGGATCCCCTCCTTGTGAGTTGTGGTCCTTCATCTGGATGGGGAAGTGTCTTCTGTATTCATGAGGACCAACATTCTTCCGGATATAGGATTCTCGCTTGCCACATACAACACAGAGGTTTTCTTTGACTGTCAGATAATAATCAACCTGAGACTCGGGACGTCCTGAAGGCTCAAAACGCAGCTTCACAACAAAAGGGTCTGTGCTAACTAGCTCTCCAATCCCCTTGTCCAAATACCACTGAGCCTTCTTGCGATCACAAGTGCACAGGGGCTGTCCATCTGGTGCATGCAGGAAGCAGTTGTCATACAGTGGAGATTTTCTTGCAGAATATCCCACACCCAGAGGCTTTCGCTTCTGCCTCCGTGGATCTCTCATCTGCTGATTGCCAGAGGGCTGGCCATTCACCCAAGATTTCCGATTCTTTGTTTTCTGAGGGGAACGCCCCTCTCCACTCTTCTCCTCTCCTATGCTGCCACTCTTTCTTCCTCTAAATGGGATATCCACCAAGCCCTGGCATTTACCCCGTGCTTTCTCCCAAGCAGTGACAGAGTTTTCACCTTCAGATGTAGCAGGGAGGCTGGTAAATCCCAGCAAATGGAAGAACAGAGCCACTGAGACCTGGGCATCCCTAGCAGCATAGAGAACCTGATCTTGTGTCAGTTCTTCTGCTTCCCAGTTGCTGCAACGCACATGAGGAGATTTGTCAAGCGGGAAGTTCAGGACTTTTTCAGCTAAAGACTTAAGGCTAAGGCAGTTGTGAAGTAGATCCTTCCGCTGTCTCATGGCTAAATACCGAAGATCCATGCTCCCTTTGACTGGAAGACCATAATCATGAAGCAATTTGCCCTTTCAGGTCAGGGCGCGAAGCAAAAAGGATCCAAGCAGGCACTGGACTTCACGCCCATCCCTAGACATCACCCAGGGTCCCCCAGTTCTATATTGTTTCTTTGTTTTTAGGGGTTTTCCTAGAAAACGGGAAAATTTTGGAGCGGTGCATTTCTCATCTGCATACGTGGTCTCAGGCCACTCCCATTCTCCTGGGCTGCCGTGTCCAGGTGTAGCTCCGGGGCAAGCACCAGGGAGGACAATGGCTAAATCACCAACCATTAACGGGCAATTAAAGAACTCTTTAACAATTAAGCTAATTTAACAGCAACTGGTCCTACCGGTTTTTAGCTCTGTAACCTTAAATAAAAAATAGATAACTTTTTATTCATAACAGGCGATATATTAAAAATCATCACTATCTTTGGCACAGTGGCTTCTGTTGTGGCTTCTGCAGTGACAGACCATATCCTCTGAGAAAGGACTTGTCACACCTTTTTTCTGAACAGGCTCACCCAGCTCCAGTGTCACATCTTCATGTCTTCCTACCTCATTTCTATCCCATGCTTAAAACAAACTTCCTGTTCCCACAAAGTCTTTTCCTCTTCCAACTCTGTTTGTAAATCGTACCACTGAAACAGAAGGTTTCTAAAATCCAAAAGCCTTTTTTAACTTCTTTGCAATCATCTTTCAAAACCCATGAACCTTTTCTATTAAAACTGGTCTCCCTCAGGAATAAGAAGAAACATACATCATTCCTTGCAGGCAGTAAAGTTAGAGGTCCTTTTACTGTTTTTGCTCAGTCAGTCTCTGGTCTGGAAATGTGCTCAAGTCTCAAGTGATCATTCTGCTTTTGTGCAAGTTGCCCTGAGGCCTCGCTTACAAGCATCAGGTGACAGCTTTGTCTGGTTCTTACTGTGCCTGAATGTCATGACAGCTGTCTTCTGCTGGAATTGTGTAAGAACAGCAAGCTTCTTGTTTTGATGAAATCTCTTCCCTGTTCTGAACTTTTACTTATTAAGAAAGGCCCTTAATAAAGCAACTGAATAGGTAAAAACTTTTCCCAAACATATCTTTCCACAAATTTTTGGACATAATGTTCTTTCTATAGAAGGAATCAATTCTACTCTATTGACATATCCCCCCAGATATGGTGGGATTCTTCCTAATTATATGCTTTATTTAGTTTTTGTTGTTGTGTTTTAAATCTGCTACATTAACTAATTTCAGAATTTACCAGAGTGTTTAGTTATGTTCCCATATTGTTTCATCTTATACTATCTTCTGTGTTACACCGTAACAATCTGAACAGCTTCAACTATATTGTTTGGGACTGTACTTTAGCTAAGTCCTAATGTAAGCCAGCAAAACCACAGTTCTCCAAGCAAAACAAACTTCTTTTCAAAGAAAAAAAAATCTTCAATCAATACAGAATATTGCACATATATTTTTTTGTCACAAAATCTCTTCTTCAGTGCCTAGGGGGTGATATTTGTTTTACCATAGCTGGACAAATTCTTTGTAACCATCTCCTCCCAGTGAAATTTAGCTACTGCACTTCCTAGAATACTAAGTGTCACAGATCTACCTAAATTATCATTGAGAGATTTCTTTTGAGCATGGCACTATTTTTATCGCATGTATTCCAGGAAAATTATGTTCTCTCCTCTGTTTCATAACCTGCTGATACATTACCTCTTCTATTAATGGTGTCTTGAAAAGATATTTTTGTCTCTCTAAGGATTTTTGTCCTATAGTATAGCAGCTTTTTAAAAGAAACACAAAATCCAAACCAAAACACCCCCCCAAAATCACCCACAACCACTACCAAAACACATGTGCCTGATCTGTTTGCGTCACTATTTCATGTTCCCAAACAATTATGAAAACTATCTTGTCAATATCTGATTTATCTTCACATCTGGCTAAAATCACCCAAAGCAGGAACTATTCTCCATGTTCCCAGTCTGAATCTTTTTATGTTGATCAAGACCAGGGTTACTCTTCACATTTCTTACTGTGTCCACAGACAGAGCAACAGGTCGCTTTCCAGTATCTATTTGTGCTAGATGCAATGTTCAATTTTGGAAATGTATTTTTCTTGAATAGTCTCTGCCTGTAAAATTGTTGTTTTCTCCTGCTGCTCCTCCTTTCATGCAGAAGAGGAGCATTTCACTACCTTGTAGATAAGTGGTGGGTTCCACTAAACTCTTGGGGATGGTGCTGTGCAGAGCCAGGAGGTGGACTCGATAATCCTTGTTGGTCCCTTCCAACTCAGTTTATTCTGTGATTCTGTGAGAACTTAAGTACATCTCAGCTGGCACTGCAGTAGCTTATCATACTTAATAGGCAGAATTAGAATCATGTCACTCTCAGCTGAGTATCCAAATAAACCACTACAATGTGACTTTCTCTTCTATTTTCTCTTTTATGTGCTCAGGAATTATGAGAATGGCTCAATTTTAAGAAAAGTGTTGAAGAGCCTATTGACCCAGGAAATCTTAGAATCTGTTATGAAGGTCGTGAATTCTGTGTTTCATTTCATATGAGCATCAATAGTTATTTCCTTAGATGGACTAAATAGCAAGAGATCGAAACATTGGACACTTCCTATTATTTCCTACTATTATTTCCTACACTTGTTTCCTATTTTTCTTTAACTCCTGAAAACAAGATGTAGATACCTAGTTTAAGACTGGACTCTTCTCTGGGAAGGCTAAATGTTCTGTGTTTGAGAGAGAAAAAAACCAAAACAAGAAAATTCACAATGTGTCTGAAGGAAAACTGATTTCATAGCTTCCAGCATGTAACTCCCAGCACTGCTGCATGTCTTCTGCCAACTCTGCGGTTTTTGAGGCCCTATTTAAGGACAGAAAACAGCAGGAAAAAAGTAATCTAACCCATATAAATGTAAAAATCTTTCTCACACATTAATTCCATGAACAGCTGGGGTTAAAAACCAATCAATAAAACAAACAAAAAAGCCAATAAGCCAGCATCATGATGCAGATGGACATACAGTCTAAGATCAGGAAACAGGAATTAGATAAGCTTATCTACAATATCAGACCACACCCTAAGTAAACTAGACCTTTTCTGTAGATCTGTTTCTCCCACCCTTTACTTAATATGGAATTTAAATTATTGCTTTATCACTATTTATCACTTTATCACTATTATTGCTTTATCAGTATCTACTGGAGTCTTTGCACAGCATGTTGTTTTCATTGGGAAGGAAGAAAACTGGATAGTAATTTCATCATAAACACTATCTCAAAATCCACATATAATCTAAATAAGGTTAAACAGATAAACAGACATGACATTCATCAAATTTTTTAGTGGCCAGTTTTACAATCTTTAAAACATTCTCCAGTAATTTTCAGTCTGTAATAAATGAGTAGACATGCCTGGAATCTTTCAAGGAATTTTGAAAAAAAAAAAGTTATTTAAAACACTAAAAGATAAATAAAATTATTGTGGGCTGTCTTAGATGTTTAAGATTTCTGTTACTTATTTGATTTAGTTAAAATACAAGTTACCTTAAAGAGCACTGCAGAGAAAAGAAGCACAGTAAGCTGCCCTGAGTGGACAGAGATATTGAATCTAAAAGATTTACATGTTAATTTTGGAAAAAACCTATTTATCTAATTATTTTTATTTTCATGACATTGGTTTTTGTTCCGCTACCTTCTTCTCTTGCATCTCCACTTCTGGCATTCCGCGTTTGCTTCAGCAGACCCCTGGAGATTAATTTATATTGTAGTCATGAACACCCCTCTCAAGGAGGATTAGGCACTGCTAATGCATTGAACACTGCTAATCTTCTCTCTGCTGATCAGGATAGGACCCAAGGGAATGGCTTGAGGCTGCACTGGGTAGAGGGGTGGGGATGGGAGAGGCAGTTAGATCAGACATTAGAAAAATGCTCTTTGCCCAGAGGGTGGCTGGGCACTCAAACAGGCTCCCCAGGGAAGAGGTCACAGCATTAAGGCTGACAGAGTTCAAGAAACATATGGACAACACTCTCAGGCACATGGTGCGAATCTTAGGGCTGTCCTGTGCAGGGCCAGGAGTTCAAATTTAATGATACTTGTGGGTATTTCATGGATATTCCATGACTCTATTAATGACTTACCCATAGCACCCCTCACCAGGCTAGAATGGCTGGAAACAGCTAGAAAATTTGTCTAAATTACTATGTATGCACAAACTGCTATGTAGATAAAGAATTAGAATCTGGAACGTGTTGGGTTTTTTTTCTTTCGGGGCACAAAAAGCAGTGTGCAAGAAAAGTCACTAGGGCCCATGCTTCTCTCTTACAACGGCTTGCCCAAAGGAGAAATAGTTCCTGTCATATATGAGAAAAGAGTGGGTAAGAGTGGGGCATTCTGAGATATATTAGATTTTAAAACCTATGTATTGCTTTGAAAAGGGGTGTGGTCAGTTCATATTCATTTTAGTTAATCTTCCGAAAATGAGCAATTACTGACAAGATGATATTTCCAAAAGGCTTTTGTCTTTTATACATCTGTTGCTTGAACAGGCTGAGTTCCTCAGTGTGAAGAGGCTGACTGAACTACAGTCTACAGAGTATGCAAGCTCAGTTTCATAATGGTGTAGCACATCTTGATTAAGAGTTTGCTCTAATGTAGATAAGTGCTAAAACATAGATCCCTGACTTTGTCAAGTCCTTCATTTCCTGAAAGGGCTTTTCAGAAGAAAGCCTTCATTGTTCAAAACAGATAAATAAAGGTTCACCACATAGGCTGGGATTTCTATTCCCCTCTTTAATGCACTGCTGGTTCCATTTTATTTTGGTTATTTGATTCTGATCACACATGATGTACAACCAGACCAAAAGGATCACCTAATCTTTGATAACCTCTAGATATAACTCCCACACTACACACGGAAAAGCCAATTTGAAGGAGTAACTTGCACATTCTCTTGGCATTATAGTACTGTTGATTATTTACAAATCCCTATACAACCATAATTCATTTTATTTTAGCAGCTGTTATCACCCTATTGTCCATGAAGATACAGTCAGTTCTGAAGACTGCTAGTCTGTGGGTAATTGTGAAAAGTAATCTAAGGTCAGTAGGTGCCTGGGCTTTAGTTTCTGCTTTTTCTTCCATGATTTAAGGCCTTTAGGATTCTTTCTTTTGCATGAATAATAAATAGTACTTGTCATGGTTAAAAGATTTTTAAATTCCAACCAATAAATGTTTAATTGTGCAGAGTTCTCTTTCAGTTTTCGTTTTGTTTTAAGTAATAAAATGTAATTTCAGAGTTTAAGAATACTCCCTAATTTTAATATTATGTTCTTATTTCTTAGGTACTATTGTAATACAAATACAGTATAAACAAAGATCTTAATGGGAAAAAAGTGCATATTTTTAAGCAGCTGTTTACATAATTTAGAACCCATGATAGACATTTTTCATAAAATGCATGATGCCAAAACCCACCTCCTTCTGCTCATACTTGCTAATGCTTAGGAATGTTATTTGTTAATGACTTTATAGTAAGTCATATCTGTTGTATATTTTAATGAAGCTTAAGCACTGGCTAAACTTTCTAAATGGAACAATAACTAAGGATAATATAAGCAATATGAATTCAATTATTATATATTCTTATAGGAAAATTTGAACATGTCCCCGTTATCTAAAAATAAATAGAACAGATTTTTCTTTATTGTCAACACTGAAAAATTCCATTAAGGAGTTATCTCAGATTTAAAGTAAAGAACAAATAAAACTTCAAGCTCGACATGCAACACAAAGTATAAGCACAAAGTATCCATTCACATTAGCAATGGATACTGTAAAGTCAAGAGTTTTTAGAGGGTGCATAGTCTTCTGGGTGTGTTTTTGCTTAATTCAGAATTTAAATGAGAGATCAGGTTACAATGAAGAAAAATAATTTTTTTTCTTTATATTTTGGATAAAGTACATTTGATGAGTAGCCATTATTTAAGACAAAAAAGATCCCAAGATTAATCTGATGTCCTTTTTTTTGTGAGTGAGGAAGGTTTCATTTGAATACTCATGATAATGGCCTACTAAAAATGAACTATAGTATGGGAAGGATAGTTTACATGAGAAAGGATAAACACATAGACTATGTCATGAAAACTTTATTTCAAAGACATAAGTTGTTGAGAATGCAAACTTCACGAGTTCATCTGAGACAGGGTCCTCATGCTGTGGTACTTGGCATTATCCACATCAGAAAAAAATCCTCAGTACCCCCAGTCACCAGAAGTTGGTAATAGCTTTTCTGTGTAGCACCACTGTTCCAATCACACAGTTAAACACCCACAACACCAATCTAGCTCGACAGTCAGCTGCCTAACCACAGATGTAGAAATATTGTATTCGCATGCGTGTCTGTGTTACAGTAACAAAGCCAGTATTAAAACATCTGATATTGGTAGATTTTATTACTTTTTTCAGATTCACACTATTATCTACCATGCACTGCTGAAACTCTGTTGAGGCAAAATGTTATTTAGGGGGTTATTGGGTGAGATCTAGAACTCTGAAGATTTTGCCTGAAGTCAAATTAAAATTTAAACATCTGTGGGTTTTGTTTTCTCTTTTTATTTTCCCTTTCTTCTCTCATTCTTACAGCCAAAAGTTTTATCAGCTAGAACCATTCTCAACTATTTATCTTTATAATTTATTACTTATTGTTAATTATAGTTGTGTAATTTTAGTAGCTGTCTCTGTAGATAAAAACTGGAGATTTATTTATAATTATCCTGCAGCATGAAAATACCTACCTTGTATCTTATGATCCAAACTATGTGGCAATCTGCTATTTCATTTTCATAATATTATAAAGTTTGAAAACTTAAGCACATTCATAGTTGGATTTTTTTAAAAGAACAGATTTGTTTTGATTTTTTGGGGTTTTTTTTTACTACGGAATCTCTTTCCAAGGTAAAAATTAGAGCATTTTGTTAAGAGAAAGGAACAAGGAACGGATTTGATTTCATGCTTAGAAATTTTTTCCTAAAGGAAACCTTGCATAACAATTTGAACAGTGAAATGTTTCTAAAGATACTCCTTTCTGATGAATCATGTGTTTGTGACTTTCCTTGGATATATTTATTCATGGCTTCCTACTGCCTTTTATCACCTCATCAGTAATCATCTCTTGTACAATGTCATTGCATGAGTGTAGCTGTTCCAGAGATGAATGATGCATTTTCTCTAGCATTTATTCTGGTTTTACTTCCATGAGCCCTACTGGATCCTTGATGAGTTATCATAGTCTGTTTTCATATTTTGCTGGGTGACTGGTGGTTTGGCAGTATTTTTCTCTCCTAAGTCCCAGATTTCTAGGACAAACAGAGAACAAAGCTGTTCATTTTTCCTATACAAAACAATGCCACAGACATCCCTCAGTTCAAAAGAAATCCATTAAACTATATTTTACTTTTGGGCTAAACTGTCCGCTGAAATTCTTGCAGATTCTGTTCTTGATCCTGTTCCCTCTGGTATTCACAATGTCTCTGTTTCCTACTGCTTAGTCCCAGGACACCTATAATCATTGCCAGAAGCAAGCACTACAGAGAAACCCTTTTTGTCTGTTATCTACTTCAGATCCCAACTCCAGGGCTTTAAATCAAGAAAATATCTTCTGGCCTTACCTTATTTCTCTTACTGAATCCTGTGCATTCTTTTTACTTTGCTGTATTCCACAAACTTTTTTCATGACCTCAAGAATTTACAGCAGCTCCTAACAGCTACATAATCCCCCCTCCCTATTTTTCCACACTCTCTATAAAACATTTCTTGGCAACTTACCTTGGCATGCAGTAAAATCGTGTTTGTTTGGATCTGAAGCGTGTGGTACATAACAAATGTCTGAAAAAATGTCTTTTACCAGGATCTAAAATATCAGCACAGTCGTGTTCCTGCCCAGAATGTTTAATCCAGTGACTTTCAGATATCTGAAAGCCAGGAAACAAGGAGCTGATGCATATGTAACTTAAATTTGTGAATATATGGAAACAGAATGCTAAAATATGAGAGTGAAATATTGACTGTATTCTTCCTCCCTTGTTGGCAAAAATCCACATGAATTTCAACTGGATTCGCTGTGCTAAGTGAAGGGATATTGAATAGTGAAGGGATTAGTTGGAGAAGCTTGGCAGTGTAAGGAGATCTGGGTCTCAGCCTGTACTGCCTTTATTCAAGGAAAGTATGTGTGTCTCAATCCAGTATCAGTGCAAAAAAAAATCAAGCCATGTCTTGACATAGATCTTTCAGAGCTGTGAGAATAAAAAATGCAGCAGAAAAATCAACTTGATTTATGGAAATATATAAAGGGATTGTAAAGCATTGCCTATTTGGGGTTACTTCCTAGTTGTAGCCCACTGTTACAGCTGTTGGGGATAGCTTCAACCCACTGTGGTTCATTTAGCCACAATTTTACCTCCGAAAAGTTAAAAAAAATATTATTAGATATCATTCTGTTTGTTCTCAAATCAATCTTGCTGGCCAAGAGTAGGTGTGAGTCTATATAACTGCAGACTTCTTCAAAGGTGGCAGATTAACAACTTAATGTCCTACGATTCGGAATTTTCTGATTTTAAAATATTACATTTTACAGACTCTAATTCTTAGGTAGAGCACAAATACATGGGCAACCTTAACTCAAATTTAATGAAAAACTTTATTTTGTCAGGGAATATCTGCATT